TCAGCAGTTTTCCTTCCGATGGGACAGGGTTTCCCCTCTTCTCCCAGTAAAACATTAGCTGCAATGGGAGCTGCTTATGGCTAAAGTACTCTGGACTGTTTGGTGTTCCAGTCAGGCTGGTTAGTAGGACAGCAAAGGGAAAAAGATGGTTTGGTGTTTTAATTCCATTTATATGCTGATTTTATTAAAGACTGTTCCTCTGAAACTTGTGCAGTCTAAACCCTGCTGTACCTTTATATGCCATCTGGCTGCTGAGTCAACCTGAGCAGGGAAACCCAGAGGAGAGAGAGAGATTTGGCTTCTTGACAAAGCACTGTATAAACATCCCCGTGCAGTGTGTTGCTCTTGCAGGGTCGAGGGCTTGGGTTAGGCATAGTTTTGTTTCCTCCTAGTTAGTAGCACTAATGTCCATTTCCACTTTCAATCCTGTTCATTTGAGGCAGAGCTGAGTGGATAAAAATTCATATGTATACACACACACACTTAGGTATTTGTAAACCTTTCAGTTGGTGGCTTGTTGCAGCTATGACAAAAGGAGGTTAGACATAATTGAAGTGCTAAATCGGCTGAACCAGTGCCCATAACATGGTGACTGGGAGGCAAGAAATACTACAAAAAATGGAATTTCCTATTCTCCTCATCTCCGAGCTGAAGTGAAGGCTGTATTCACTGAGGTCATGGTTGACAGTGATTTAATATTTGACATTATAAAATTGGGGTAATAGAAAAGATTCCCGTTGGTTGAGGCCTTTTGGCTAGCACTGGTCCAGGTGCTGGGAAAGACTTTTAATTAGAAGTCTGAGTCTGGCCTGGAGCCACTGAGATGTTCTTCCTCCCTCATCACAGTCCAAGGGGAAACACTTCCCTTTGGGAAATGCTGTCGTATGCGAGTGGCTCTGGTGGTGTAGGAACACTGCTCTTGTGGCTTTGCTGGGTATGGAATAGCGTGATGGGGCTGGGAGGGGTTAACCACTCCGGTCCCTCTGGGCCACTTGATCCTTGCCTGGCCTGAAAGCACTAAAGCGTAAACCTAATTAAAAGAGAGAAGTAAGTACATGCAGCTTAGAACAGAGACCGTGGCAATGGGTTGTTCTTCCGAAGCAGTCCTGGCTGCTGGAATGGTTTGAGGCACTGTGGCTTCTTAAATTTCTATTTGTTCGATGAACTTTAATTTCATTTCTCTAGTGTTCAGTGAAGAACTGCAGAACAGCCTTTCACGTCACCTGTGCGTTTGATCGCGGCTTGGAGATGAAGACCATCTTGGCAGAGAACGACGAGGTGAAGTTTAAGTCCTACTGTCCCAAGCACAGCTCCACTAAGAAAGCAGATGATGAGGCTTCGAATGAAAGCCCAGGGCAGGAGAACGGGAATGGGATTCAGGACAGCTCTCTCCCTGCCCACATGGACCCTTTCCACAGCATGGATCAAAAGCAGGAGGAGGCCCACAGAGTCAGCCTCCGCAAGCAGAAGCTCCAGCAGCTGGAGGATGAGTTCTACACGTTTGTTGAGTCTTCGGAAGTGCGGCTGCCGGAGGAGCCGGTGGAATTCCTTTACCAGTACTGGAAGCTGAAGAGAAAAGCCAACTTCAATAAGCCTTTGATTACCCCAAAGAAGGACGAAGAGGACAATCTGGCTAAACGGGAACAGGATGTTCTGTTCAGGAGGCTGCAGCTCTTCACGCACCTCCGGCAGGACCTGGAGCGGGTAAGCCACAGCACAGCCTGCGCTGGCCACAGCCAGCCGAGTTCCCAAACTGCACAGGCACCCCAGGCTGCACCTGAACTCAGAGCTGCCTTGGCAGGAAAGACCATTAGCACTAAATTTCTCCAGAGCACAGCAATTACCCTTTGCAAATAGAGGGTTAGTCACAGGGCCAGCAGGTCTTGGCTCATAGCATTCAATCTCCTACAACAGGACTGTCGTATTTCTGCTTGTGCTTTTGGACTGATTAACACTGATGGCTGCGGGCTGTACTGCAGCCCCAGCTGGAGCCTTTTTAGACTTTTAAGGGCTTTCCATGCTCCTTCATCTGGTGTGCAAGAAGGAAAAGATGTTGAAACCTACCTTGATTTGCAGCTGATCTGTTTTTCATTGCCACAGCAGAGTAGAATGAGGTTTCCCTGGACTATCTATGTGGTAGATTTGAGAGGCAAATGATGTTCAACTCAATTAGGTTTTGAATGTTTAAAGAAGAGTTCAGTAGGATCAGTTTGGTGTTTTAAGTACATCTGATCCTGTAATGACCTGGATTCCTTCCTTCTTGGGTTAACTACTAGAATTTAAGAGATGTTAGGGCCAGAAAGAGTACTGAAATTAGTTTTTCACATCCCTACAGCATGTGGCTCCTGTAGGCATGGATGAAAGCTGGCTCAGGAGGTCCTACCTCAGTAACCTGTAGGTGAACCAGAGCCTATCAGAATACTGTCTAATCTTTCAATCAGGGCAGCAGGTGCTCATGCATATCCTGCATCCTTTGGAAAGGATCCTGATGACTAATTACTCTTCTAATGAATTGCTGCAGTTTTTCTTCTGAAGTTGGTTTTTTTTCTAGTTTCAACTCCAGCCCATGACCCTTGTCTAGCTCAGTGAGGTCCTAGCTGTTACCTGGGATGATCCGTTGCTGCTCCTGTGCTCAAGAAGTGTTTTCATGTTCTTTTTGATCAGCTCAATAATTAGAATTTGTAACTTTTCTCTGGATCTTAAATAATTCTGTGGGTATCCTTTCCCTTTTTAAATGTGATGTCAAAACAGGATCCATGATTCTGGTAGCATTTTTAATGTTCTACTACTCTGTGGTCCCACTAATTGTACAGCCAGGATAATTTGGATTTTTAAATGAAGAGGGACCTTTGCACAAACAGTCAGACTTGTTACATTTCTGGAAGTCAGTCTAGAAGGTTGTAATATGCCTCCAAATCTGATGGAATAATCTCTCAATTACAGGGTATTGAAGAGTCTTTTCTAAGAAGTGTGTTGGAAGTGGTTAAATTTCAATACTTCACTAACTTGTTTAAGTGCTATATAGTACTTGAACTTTGAATTAATTCAAAGCAGAGATGGACATCATCACAGAAACACAATTCCTGTAAAACTCATTAACTTTGCTGTGTTCCAGGTGCGTAACCTCACGTACATGGTGACCCGGAGGGAAAAAATCAAGAGATCTGTTTGCAAAGTTCAAGAGCAGATCTTTAACAGCTACGCAAAGCAGTTGGAGCAAGAAAGAGTCTCAGGTAAGCCTCAGTGTTCTCTTGCTCACATAAGCCCAGAGGCACAAGGTTTGGTTATGGGCTGACTGCTCATTCTGAAGGACAGACAGGACCTCATTTGTTCTCGAGTCCCCATGCATCAGCACATTGGGAGAAATAATGAAATGAAATAAAGCTGTAACAGTGAGCACATTGCTGTAGAAACTGGGAGTCTGTTGTTATCCACGGGACACTACTTAGCTTGCTGCTTCTGCTCCTTGCTGGTCTGATTCTTTCATGGCTCCTTAGGACAGGGAAAGCATGACCAGATGGCACCTAGCATGGCTGTGGTTTGTTAGTGCCGCCGCATTAGTGTTCAGCATGTGGCAGGTTAAGGACATGGAATATGAAGAGGCAGTCCCATGGTTTCCCAAAGCCATGGGGTTTTCTGCCTGATCTCATTCACAATCTTTTCTGAGAAGGATGAATACCTCCAAAATTAACTGCAGTAACTAGATTATCCGTTAAGTATTCAGTAAGAAAGACACCATATTTTAGATGGCATCAGTGAGATACACTTGCTGGTTGCTTTTTGCCTCCCTCTCTGAGGAATCTCTCTCTGTTAGTGGATGGAGTACTGCTAGGATTTATATTTGCTACAAGTGTAATTAGGTGCAGCACAGCCACAGGAAAATAAACCACACCAGCAGGATGTTGGGAAACCACAACAGACCCAGAGTTGTGACATAAAGGTGCTGGACAGACAACCAGACACTCATTTATGATATGGACATGTTAGGCATGAGGAACTGAGTTAAAAGAGGTACAATCAAATCTGCTATTTATGCAGATATGTTATTGCTTCATTTGAACTTATTTTGCTTACATTCAGGTGTGCCTTCCTCATTCTCCTCCATGGAAAACACAGTGCTGTTCAACAGTCCATCTCTGGGCCCCAATGCCCCCAAGATAGAGGATCTGAAGTGGCATTCTGCATTCTTCAGGAAACAGATGGGCACATCCCTAACCCACTCCTTGAAAAAACCGCACAAGAGAGACAGGGTAAGAGACAGCTCTGGGAGTGACAGCAAGTCCCTGCTGAGGCAGCCTGGCCCCAGGGAAGGCGGTGCAGCTCCAGGGAGCTTTTTGCATTTTGACAAGACCTTTGCAGAAACACGGATTGTATCAGCACAGCAGAAAAATGGCATCGTTATACCAGAACACAGAAAGAGGAGAGACAATCGCCCGCAGTGCGAGGTGGCTAAGGAAAAGACTTCTAAACACAACCACAAACCGCTGAGACCCACGGAACTCTCTCAGAGGCAATCGGAAAACAAAAGGGCTGTGACCCACTCCAGTGGTAGGTCGGCACCTGGCACTCGGAGGGATATAGTGCCTAAATGCAACGGGGGCCTCGTCAGAGTAAACTCTCACCAGACAGTAGTTAAAGTGCCTACGACGCCCACGAGCCCGGTGAAAAACTGGGGCGGATTCCGAATTCCAAAGAAGGGGGAGAGGCAACAGCAGGGCGAGAGCCTGGAGGAGACCTGTCGCCAGAATTCCAGCTACCCCTACCTGGGCATGGGCAGAGTGCCCCCGAAGGACAGGACGAAAAGCAAGCTAAAGCCTGACAGCGAGAACGATGGGTACGTCCCCGACGCCGAAATGAGCGACTCGGAGACTGAGGTGGCTGAGAAGAAGTGCAGGCAGCAGAGGCTCAGTCCCAACAGCACTATCAGCAGGAGGACAGACATTATTCGGAGAAGCATCCTGGCATCCTGACTGGGCACAGGGACATGGTGTCAGTAGTCACTGCCTACAAGCCAACTCCACATTATTTAATGGTGTGAGAGAGGAGAGTTCTGAGACATGGCTACAGACTGATAACACATTACTTCTGAGTTGTATAAGTATGTTTACATGCACTTAAAGCTGTTTTAAGCTCTTTTTTCTTTTTGCTCTGCCCCCCCCACCCCTTC